CCCAAAAAAAAGCAGAACAAAACTGGGGAAAAGCGAGAAAACCAACCATTTGAGGTCTTGGAGATAACAGCATGTTTCATGACCATAAATTACAAACATGAAATTTACACACAGTATTACACACTTGCCAGGATATTGCATGGCAATATTATAACATGTCATTATAATGGCATTTTGTCATTATGAATGGGAATAACCCTTCTAAGCCCCCCCCCAATCTCCCCTCTCCTCAAGAGAAAATGGCCATAAATCCAACCGCCTAGCCTCCAATAGAGGAGACCCTCCTGGATTTGCTATATTATAAATTCATAATTTGCAGGAATAAACCCTCCCAAGGTCTCTCATCACCTCAGGGGAAAACAGCCCCACTCTCTTCTTAGCCCCCCCTCAAATCAAGCAGAACCCCAATTCCTCCAGTTATTGCATCGCAACATCATAAATTTGCTATTTATAGGAATAATAATAATAACTCCCTCCCAAGGCCTTCCTTCTCTCCTCAAAAGCAGCAGCAAAACCTGAAACCCAAACCCCTCGAGCTTCAAACAGAGGAGACCCAGTCCTCTGAAACCCAACCCCCCCGAGCTTCAAACAGAAGAGACCCAGTCCTGCGCTGTCCTAGGATAAATGTATATAATTTGCCCTTATAAATACGAATAACCCTAAACCCTCCCCGACAATGTCTTTTTTTTTCCCCTCAGGGAAAGCGGCCCCAACTCGGGGAAGGAACCCTGGGACGAAGTGGGAAGCCGAGGCGGCCGTCGAGGCCCCTTCGCCCGAGGGGGGGTCTCCTCGTGGCCGGAGGGAGGCCCTCGCCTTGGCCCGGCCCGTCCTTCGCCTCAAGGTCCCGGGCTCCCCTCAACCGGCTCCAGGCCTGGCCGGGCCGGGCCTCACCTTCTGCAAGGCGCGCACGTTCTCCTCGCCGAAGAGGCCGCTCACCCCCTGGTAGACGCCCGAGGCCGCCCGCCGGAGGCTGTTCTGCTTCTCGCCGCTCCGGCTCCGCGCCGCCTGGGCTCCCGGGAGGGCCACCGCCAGCAGCAGCACCACCAAGGCGGCCAGGAGCAGCCCCCGACCGGGACCACCTCCTCCTCCTCCTCGCCGCCGCCGCCGCCACCAGGACGGCCACCACGGCCCGCTTCTTCCCGCCATGGCCATGGCCGCCCAGGGGAACTACGGGCCTAGCCGGCCTTGGTCCTCGTCCTCGTCGTGGCGGTGGCGGCGGGGGAGGAAGCAGCCTCAGCGGGCTGAGGCGGGGGGGTGAGGGCCCGCGCTTTCCCCGCCTCAGCGCGTCGCCTCAGAGCCGCCTGGCTTTCCTCGGTCGGGCAGCGCCTCCCCATGGCGGGCCTGCGGGCCTGCTTTCCTTCCCAGTTTATTTATCGCTCTCTTTCTAAATAAATAAACAAATAAATAAATAGTTTATCTCTCTCTTTCTAAAATAAAATAAAAAAATCAAAACCCTTCAAAGGAAGGTAGAGAAAAGGGGATATAACCACATAATAAAAACAATGGTTTTCTTCAACAAAAATAAAAAAAACTCCTCAAAGGAATGTACAGAAATGGGATTATAATCAAATAACAAGAACATGGTTTTTTCTGAACAAAAATATTAAAACCATGGCACCAGGATGAGGAGGATCTGTAATCAATCAGGGTTAATAACCACCCTTTCCCCTCATTTATCTCGTCTCCCCTCAGAGACAGAAAGGCCTCCATTCTGTCAAGGGTGGGTTGGATGGAAGTACCAATTTTTTTTTAAAAAAATGGATTCTTTTGGACAATTTATATTTAACGTATCAGATTTTAATTTTTTAAAAATCCATTTGTTTTTAATCATTGATTTTTTTATCCACCCTGAATCCGATGGCTGCTCCCGACTTAGAGGAGACTAGAGGTGTAAAATTTATGGAAATTTTGAAGGCATATAAAACAGCTTGGGGAATAATGTATCAGATTTTTAAAAATTGTACATCTATTTGAGAAATGTATGTTTCAGGCAAGGTGATATTGAAACCAGGAACTCATCTCCTGGAATAACAAGTCAAAGTTTTAACAACAATAACTTTGACACAAGAGAGAGAGTTCAAATGGTTGCTGTTTTATTTAACTAAATAAAAAGACGTTATGCCTCCGAGTGTGCAGGAACAACTGTGTGTTGCACAGGAAGATTTGGAGTTTTGTAACATTGGGAATGGGAGGAAAAATGGAGAAATGGGTGGTTCGTGAACCTATTGGCAGAAGGGATGGGATTACACAGGATTCCAAACTTTATCGGAGTGGGAATCGCAGAAAGGATGGAATTTTACAACAGGGGTGGGTCTATATATAGACAGCAATTATGGAAATGCATGGCGACATTGTTATATTGATAGGAAACAATTTATTATAAGTTTGGGTGAAAAGGAGACTTCCAAGGTAATAGGAAAAAAGGTATTGTGCAGTGAGACGGTCCAGATTCCAGAGTTCAATTTTCATAAGATTGGTCCTGGCATTTCCCTGTGGGAAAAGATTCAAAACCCAGCTGTGCTGTGTCTATTTGCTTCTCCTAGCTATATTGTGAGAATAAAATATGGAGAAATCATACACCTTGCCTAGCTATATTGGAAAGCGAGATAACCCAACCTGGCGAAGGCAACCTGGCTAATCTTATCCCTTTACAGAGACTCTTTGAGGGGGGGGGACATGTACTGTACATATATATTCTGTGTGACCTGATGAAAGGTGTGTTCTTCTGTGTGCTTTTGTGTCTCAAATTTTACCAAAAATTCACCTTAGCTGGGGTTTCCCACTAATGAAAGGAATGGGACAGAAAGTCCCATTCATTTCATTGGATCTACTCCAGGCAGGACTAAAATTGGATTTATTTCTGTATTTTTTTAAATCTCCTAGCTAGCTTGATGAAGAGGTCAGGAGGACTGAAGAACTTGCACAATATTGGAGACGGCCTTGAGAAATATATTGCAGGCTTATCAATTTTGCTTTGCTCCATTTTGAGATGTACTTTCTCCTCTTT